CAGGAACTGATGAGAGTCTGTACAGCATTCCTGGAAATCTCAGTGCAGTTTCCATTAGGGGGGAAAATGGACAATTTTTATATCATGTGTGATAGCGTAGTAATTGAGATTGAGAATCCAATTTCTTTCTCTAACACTTTCTATCCTAGCAACTGAAAATGGCTAACCTGGCTTTTCATAATCGTTCAGATCTTCATCATGGCTTTCCAAGAAATGATGATGTGACTCTAATGTACGGCTGAACCTTTTTCCGAGCCACACCATGATTTTGTGCCAGTTCCCAACCGCAGAGACTCCAGCTCAGAACTGATACATGACATGACCATTTTTGTGTATGTGCCAACATGACCAACACTTAAAACACAAAAACCCTTTCAGAAGAGAGCAACAAAACCACACCTCCAACATGTTCTTTTGGAAACGAAAAGACAGGCCAAGAAATCAAGATTTATATGCAAAAAGCTTTGCTTTCCTGTTTGATACCTGCTGACTATAGATACATAAAAAGACCCAAACAAATTCTTCCCTCTTTTTTCTTCTTCATGGTCATGAAGGGAGGCGGGGATGCTGTCAGGCAACACTGAGGACCAGATGGAGAACTGGAGAGTTTGATATGGGTCATGAAGTCTGCTGGTGTTCTGCGGGTGGTGGTGGGAAGGGTCCTTGAAACTGGAAGACGGACACTGGACTGGAGAAAACGCGCATAGCGCTTCACTGGAAAGTTAGTTTGCACTTAAGCTCTGATTTTATTTGAACTGTTTTCTGGATTTTGAATGAAGCAATATGGAAGTGACCAGCAAAATACAAAATAATAATTTTAAGTTAAAAAAAAAAAGAATTATATGTAAAGAATGACTGTGGAAATGCCAAAATGAAGCAAATCAAGTCTTTGGAACAATGTCTACCAGTTCTGAGAGGCCGTTGCACTGACTGCTTCAGAGAATACAGTGACAGAGCAACCAGCTCTTACTGCTGCCACGTGAAGGACAGCAGAGCGAGCCCTGAAAGGGAGCGGAGGAGACAGACGCCTTTCTCTGGCTTGCAGCACAGTATGGAATGGTTTTTTCTAAAGGGAGGCTTACTGTGGCACAGAAGGTGGCACATAAGAGGTTTGAGAAATGAAAACGTGCATGACTCGCAGAGCTTTTCCATCAAAAATGTAAATAAGTATGAATCAGTCTCCTCGCGCTTAGTTCTGCTTTCATCAACCTCAATTTTTAGGTAGACACCCCCACCCCACCCCCTGGCCTGCTCCTCTTTGGACATATCTTTCAGCCAGAGTTCTGGGTGTTTGTTGTACCCTGAGGCAGGTGGAGCTGGGAGAGGAGGCGTAAGGGCCAGAGGCACTGGTGGCTTGCTCCTGGCACGCCGAGACCCGTGCGTGTAAGAGCGTTTGCGTTCCTAGTTCCCACCAAAAATCTTAAGGAACTAGTGTAAGTACCTCGGAAGATCCGCCTGTGTCTCTATCCCTCGAGGCTTTGAAAGGGGAAGAAACAATACCTGGTGGATGGCAGTCTTAGGTGGTACAACAGTATTTCAGTTTATGCATTTCAGTACTGTTAAAGTCAAGATCTTTGAGGTGACGACCTAACCTGGCAACAAAACCAGCAACAACCAGTGGTCTGGAAACGCTATCAAGCTCCTCCAGATTCTTGCCATCTCAACAGCTTGCCACCTTTATTCATAGGGAAGCAGGGAGGGGTAAGAAACAAGCAATAGTTGCCCTAATCTCGGTGGCCAAGGGTCAACTTGACAAAGGTATGAAGAAATTCCAGACCTGGGTTGGTTGTTAGACTTGTAGGTGGGTAACAAATTGTGTCTGGTTGCTAGGTCAAGGTTGGTTCGGCCAACAGCCTGTTTCTGCATCAAGTGTGTTCAGGCCAGCTCGAACCAGCTGCGGGGCAGATGTTAAACCTGTAAACTGAGTAGGAAGCTGAAGGGTCTGCAGGCAGCAAGAACGAGTGCAGACCTCTGAGACTGTTAAAAGGAGATGCTGGGTTGAGGGGTACCAGGGTGGTTTGGTACTAGCAGACCACTTGCCTCTTGCTGTAACTCGTCATGATCTTGGCAGGAGACCAGAGGGAAGCGTTGGGCAGGGGCTGGGAGCGCAGAGCGGTGGTGTGAAGCCCTGGAGACGCTGCTCCAGGGAGAGTTTGCCAGCGGTAGTGCTCACAGGGTGTCGTCTGAAGCATGGGCAAAGGTCTGCCAGGTTGGGGCACAATTGCCAAGCTGCTTGGGGACAAAGACTGGCAGAGGATTGTGGATGTCCTGTTTCAGCGCAGAAGCAGCTCGCGGTACATAGGTAGGTGGAGAAGGGGATGGATTTGTCTCTCGTAACAGAGTAACTCCTAATGGAGAAAAATTAAAATAAAATCCTGATACAGCTTACGTGGTGGAATTCAAAGAGGTGCACTCAAAGGCTGCCGGGGCAGAAGCAGAACACCTCCACACCCAGGTGGGATGGTGCTGGGACGTAGCTGCTAAGGGAAGGTGAGGCCTGTTTGTTTGTCTGGTGACCGAGTAGTACCGGTGTTGGAAACAAGCCCATTGACTAATAGAAATGTAAATAATTGTGGGGTTTAATAATTTAATATTTTATTTCTTATAAAACTTGAATTATTTATTCATTTGAATTGTTGACTGTGGGTGTGATACAATATATTAAGTAGTGTGGAAGTGCAGAGGTTCACTGAAGTGAGGCAGCGTGAAGGCCACAACAGAAGCTACCAGCCGTGCCAGCTGGGTCTGGGATTGCAGAGGGCAAGCAAAGGGTTAATGAGCACAGTAATTCCTGGTGATGGAAAACTCAGCAGACTGCAGCTTCACAAATGGGCTTTTTTTTTTTTTGTTCTTGAGCTTCTGGTTTGAGTTGCAGTTGCCCAGAGTGGCCCTCGTGTTTCCTGCTGTGCCGGTGGCTCACCTGTGGTGCGGCCCACGGCCTGCGCCGTGCCGAGCCTCGGGTTAACCGGTTCCTCTGCCCCAGCAGGAACAGCAGTTGTGGGAGCACGGCTCCTCCGGAGACCAGTGCCTCCCAGCTACTTTGGCACGTCTTGTCTCTTTACCAAGAAGTTTAACCATGGTTAAAAAAAGCAAAACTGGGAGCAGAACTGTCCGGCTGCTTCCATGGGATCCGCAGAAATACCCGTCTGGCCCGAACTCCTGTATTGGCCTTAGCGGGAGCGGCTGCTGGCATGGTGAGCGACCTCAGGCAAACGTACATGGCAGAATTATGGCAAATGTTCAGCTGATGGTGGTGTGAAAAATGAGGGTCAACGTTTTTAATGGATAATTACAGGTGTAGGGGAAGAGCAGGTATCTCCACACACAAACTGCATTTTGTCAGCACAAAGCAGGAGGTGAGAGCATCAGCAGAAGCATTTCATCCGGTCGTCATTGTGTGGTCCCTACAGTGGTACCTGCACACAGCACTGTCAGTTTTTATGGATTTTTATAACGTGGTCTCCTGTAAATGTTTTCTTTTCCCTTACGTAGCCTGAGCGATGGAAGAGCATTGTCTGACTTTTCAAGAGCGGATACCCGAGTGTGTCTCAGCCACTGTCCAAGGCACAAAGCTGCACGCTAAACGGGAGAACAGCTTATCTTTTCCTAATCTCTTCAGTGATACTTGTCTTAGACGTTGTTATCTACCTGAGGGTTATTCCAAACAGCTGTGGGTGCTGGATCTGATGGACTTGCTGGAACATAATTGACTGACTCCAGCTACTTCCTAAGTTTCCTTCTTCAGCTCTTCTCAAATGTTTCTTTTTCTGCAAAATAGCCAGGAGGGATTCTTCGTGGCCATTTGCTCAGCTGTAGCAGAGTATTTACAACTTGCTTTCAAACAGGTCATCTCTCACAGGCAGCAAGCAATGGAAATAAATCCGAGGGAGTATCACAGGTAGGAGCCACCACGGGGTCTGTTTCAGGTACCTTAAGCACAGCCCTGAAATCTTTTTCTTTGTACAGAGCAAGGTTGTGTTAACCCTCGTTGTACCACTTTTTTTGGTAAAAAATGCATTTCTTGCCTGCAGGAACTGCATGCAGTGGTCTCATTCCATTTATTTCCCAGAGTAATGGGAAAATATCTTTCTTTTCCAGTCCCACAGCTGCTAAGCCCAGAGGCTGCGTGCAGAGGGCACTTGTGGGATGTGCAGCTGGGGCAGAGCCTGTGCACGTACCACCCATGGGATACCTGGTGCCGTTACAGTTTGGAGAGGGAGTTTTAGGGGAGTGTTCCCCCCCTCCCCCAACCCCCACCGATCCCAGCCTAGAAGCAAAGGAAAAGGCTGCTCTGAAAGGCCAGCTTGGCCCTGGCTCTGTGCGGATCCGTTCTTCCCATAGCTGTAGCGGGAGCTGGCGGTACGGTGAAAAGCAGTGGCTGTGAGGTAAGCTGGCCTAGAAATACAGCTTGGGCTTGGGGTTGGGTTTTTATTGAGTGTGGACCTATATGGGAAACAAAAAAAAAATCTTTTTTTTTCTGATGGGGTGTCCATGTAGGTGACCTGCATCGCAGTGGCAGCTAAAGGAACGAAGGGATTATTTGAGCTCCTTTATATGGCCCAGGAGATGAGGAGGCTTATCAGGAGCTGAGCCTCTGCTTATCAGTCGCCTCTTCGGCCCTCACAGAGCCCCTCAAAAGGGGGCAGGATCGCCCCCGGTTTCCTTGCAGGTATTTTTCAAAGGGTGGTGCTGCTTGCAGGTCCGTGCAGACTCCGCACTCGTTCATTTCTAACTCTGTCACTTGCAATATTCTGATTCCTGTGGATCTTAGACCTCTGCTGCTGGCACAACAGCTTCTCTGTTGCTATATAGAATCATGGATTTGGGTTCACCTTCTGTTTTAGCAAGCCAAGGCTGTGCAGGG